ATACATTGTTTGAGTGCAAAATGTTGCAGCCACTCTGAAAATTGTTCTAGCAGTCTCTCACACAATTAAACATACACTGACCTCGGATCCAGAAATTCCACTTCTAAAAATTTAACCAGTGCAAACATGTCTACAAAAAGACTTGTACACGAATATTCATAGCACATCTATTCATAATAGGTAGAAACTGGGAACAATCCTAAGGACCATCTCCTCATGGATGTGTAAACAAATTGTGGAATACTTACACCATGAAATACTATTCGATAAAGAAATATTGCTCAATAAGGAAAGAAGAAACCTCTTTTACATGCTTCAACATGACTGGAACTCAAAAACATGCTAAGTGAAAGAAGTCAGACACAAAAAAGAACACGCTGTATGGTTCCACTTATATGAAATTTTAGAAGAGGCAAGTTCTGCTTCCAGTCAAAATTAGTGCAAGGACATTATTTACCCTCCTGCCAGAAATAACAATCACAAGAAAAACAATAGAAATGAAAAATATATGAAACAGTGATTTGCAAGACACCACATGCCATAATGAAGAGTAATGATCCCTGAGATTTGGGAAATATGAGAAGCGAACCCTATGATTGCCCCAGCTTACTGCCTTAAGAGAATTCTCAGGCCTTAGTGCAGGCAGAGGGAACCCAGGTAGAGCTTGCCATGTCCCTGAGTTGAAGAGATGTAACTTTGAATTTGGGGAGGCCAAGGTAGCTCGAGTTCACAAGACAATGTACCAGGGAAATGAAAGTCACATAAACTCCAGAGCTCGCACAAGACTGGCAATAGTTCCAGTTCCCACCAGTCAGAGTGGAAAAACACAGAGTTCATGGGCAGTCAGATACAGTACTCAGAAGTGTTTTGCCTCAATAGTGAAGCAAGATTGGCCATATACTAAGTGCTGCTTTGATCCCAACTAACAAAGCTTAAAAGCAAGAGCCAAAAAGATCATAGAAGCATTTTCCATCACCTAGTTTTCCTAGTAGCAGTTAAGGAACACTGGAGTTGTTTGGGTTCCAGGGCCCACTCTCCTGAGAGGGTTGAAGTGTTGCTGAGTGGGCAGGATAATGGGCTTACAGTCTCCTCTTCACCCAAACTTCTCTGCTTTCAAATCATGGATTGGACTTTTGGGGAATAAGAAGTCCCATGTCTAAAATGTGTACAACCACTATATAGCAGTTAGATACAGGCCATGTCATGGAATCCTGGCCTTCAAGGGCCTGTGCTCTCTGGACTTCATGGTCCCCTTCATGGACTATGGTCATTGATTCTTCCCCAGGCCTCCCTGATGTTCTTCACCAGCTGACAATGCTCTATCTGAACCCATTCCCTGGCACCTGGTCATTCTGATAAAATACTTCTTTCTCAAAGTAAAGGGAAAAGCTTATTGACATTTCTGAATTTTAAAGCATGCCCAGAGGAATTCTGTTACTCAAGGCATCACTGAAAAAATCCTGCTTTCTATGGATGAGAGATTAAGTTAATTTTCTGCTCAACCTACTTAGAAAACAGGAAAATTAAAATAACTGTGAGACAATATATTTTCACCCAGAAGTTTGACCAAAATTTAAAAGGCTGATAAAATGAAATGCCTGTGAGAGTATAAATAATTTACATGCATTACTGTGTGGGAATATGAATCAGTACAGCTTTCTTAGAACAGAATTTCAGCAATATTCATAAAAATTTACAATCATCACATTCTGTTCACTTTAATCCAATTTGCACTTCGCTATCTTTCCTATAAAACATACATATTTGCCCAAGAATTCATACTCAGTGATGTTGATATCAGTTCTATTAATCATAGTAACAAATGGGAAACAATTTATGTGTCCATCAGGAGGAGAATAGTTACATTAATTATGGCACATACACTCTTTAGAATACTTGAGAGTAGTTAAATGAGTGAAGTGGATCTATATGTCTTATCAGAGAAAGATCCTGCATTCATTTTAGTAAGTGACAAGAGCAAGAGGCAGGACGATATGTACACTGTTATCCATGTTTATTAAAAACTCACACTGTATTTTTATAACACATCAATGTAAGGAAAAGTATAGAATAAATTTTAAAAGAATACACAACTCTTTAATTGTGGTTACTTCTGAGGAGAGGGGTGAATTTCGGAGGAATGTAGTAAGGAAGGGGAATTGTGACTTATCTGTATTGTTAGAAGTTTTGGGCAATAAAACTATCTGTACTATTACCTAAAACCAAAATTTTTCTCAGGGCAAACAGAGATAAGAGGCAGTGGAAAAATGTTGACATTTTCTTTTCTTATCAAGGATAGTGTGTTTGCCATGGAACCATTTTCCAACTCTTAGAAGGACTCTTGGGTTTTTAGGAATTCTTTCTACGTAGATGTTTGCTTATATAGTGATTTCCATGATCTTTTCTCATCTCCTACTTATGGTAGAGGCTTTGGTTTTAACCAACAAGGTAAAGTCATTTATTGGTGTTTGTGGTCAGTGGCCAATCTCAAATAATTCAGCCCATTAAAATTCTACTGCAAAAATCAGGGTGGTTTCCAAAACCTCTTCTCTAATTTCAGGGTTATATCCCAAGAACTAATAGAGTCTGTGCCAAATCAGACTCTAAACACCAGCAGATTTGAAAACACTTTGAGGATGTGGTGAAGGCACCCAGGGAGACGAGGTGTCCAAACTTCACCGTCTGAAGTGAACAATGCTGTGGAAGGGGCTGCTGCTATCAGAAGGGTCCACAGTGAGAGACAAGATATGCAGGGACTGGGATGCTCCAAATCAGGGAGGCAGGTGTACAAGCTCTCTATTCCATGGGGATCAAGGGGTGACCTCCAGAGGAGGATGCAAAGAAGAGCTGGCAGGCAGGTCAGGTTCCAGTCTGGACAGGAGGCACATGGTAAAGACCCAGGGGAAGGGCACTGTCATGCAGGAGAATGCTGGGCCCAGACACTTGGGCTAAGACCATGGCAGAGTTAGCACTCAAGGAACCCTGGGGCAAGGGACAGGAGGATCCGAGGTAAACGAAGCCCTCAGACAATCTCCAAGTTGTATTTGATTCTCCTTTTCACCTTCCTTCTTTAGGCCTGCTCTTAGTACTTTGGCCACAGGCTTTTTCTTTTTACCTTTTGAGAAACATGGTAAAATAGTGAGAAGAGAAACGAATTAATAGACATAAAGGCTGGGAGGCATGGAACAGTGTGGATTCAAGTGTAATTCAGACCAGGGCTCTAGTCCCATCCCTGCCACTAGCTGTGTGAGCTCAGTAACTTACCAAACTCTATGAGCCTCAGATTCTTCATCAATTAAGTGGGTTGGATATATCCTGTCTTGTAGAATTGATGAAATAATGTAGGTAAGGCACCTGGCACAGTGACTGGTGTGCATTGAGACTTTAAAGAATGGCAACTATTGCTATGATTTTTTGATTGTAGATAATACCAGCCCTCCTGCTGAGATTTTGGGGTTTTGTTTTGTTTTGTCACTTTTTTAAATCCAAGAGATGCCTGAGAATATGCAGTGCAATAGGACACTGAATACCAAGTTAGCCAAAAATTCTGCTTAGCAAGAGAAAAATTGCCTTAGCGAATAATCCCCCTTAGAGGATATATTATTTAATTTGGGTGTTGAGGAATCCTCATCTGGACGTGACTCAAAACTCCTAAAATGTGTATCAAGAACCAACTCCTCCCCTCCCTCCCAGCTGCTCATTAATCCAAATGACTCCTATTTTCACTTATTTAACCCCTCCCTACCAAAATCAGGCCCTCCCTTAGAGTTTGCCAAATTTTACTCAAGATAACCTAGTTAAAAATGCCCTTTTTATGGAGCCGCTCTGTTTCTATCAGCCCAGGGCAAAGAGTGCCAACACAGTGGCTTCCTGGCATCCCACCTTGAGGAAGTATTACCCTTATTTATGAGAAATTCCCTGAAGATGATTTGGATAAAATACCTAGTCTGTGCACTGTGGTCACCTGCACTGGGTCAAGGGTCCAGGGCACCTTCCATCCCTAACCAGGTGGAGATTTCTCTATGGTTTATCCACGATCCCAGATTAACTGCTAAAAGCAGTTCTCCTTTGGAGCCTTAGTTTCTCCAGTCTGACACCCATTACCCAAGAGTCTGGCCCTTGCTCACAACCCTCACACCCACCTCTGACTCACCACCCACCTTAATTTAAAATTACCTCCTATTTAAAAACCTGAGGCTTCCCAAGTTCCCAAATTTTCTTGCCTCAGGATGTTTACACTTAACTGCTCTCATCTGGACCTCCCCTGCCTCCCCTCCCCATCCTT